TTTTATCGATACTAACTAATGAGTATCGATACTCAATTCGAAGACATATATCAAAATGAACTACTATTTTTCTTTCAAACTATATTATCGATTTTGTTCTTATGATTTTGATACACTTGTACATACAACCATACCATACAACTATAAGTTTTGATATATTAATATTTCTATTATACTGATGTAAACATGTTTGTACATTTGTCACACACTTATAATTCCATTTTCATGTATTTATTTATGTTGTATCAAATAATTGTTGTGTCCGAAATTGGCGAAGTGTGATACAATAGGATGACTGGCTGGTGTTAATTAGAATAAGTTTAATAACACACATCTAAATCTTCAAACCTTATCGAGGAACCATGTCCGAATTTGAAACCTCATTTCGGGTAAATTGGATGGTTCGGGTTTTGGAATCATCGGAATCTGTGTTGCCCGATACCGGAGAAGAGTTCAGGCAGAATCCAGGCTTGGTGGGCTCCGGAAGAGAATAAGTGCATCGACTGAGAGTAACAACAACCGAACCCATACTTGGTCTGCTACCAATATCTTCTTGAACGCATAGCAACCCCAGGTGGATACATTTCAGCATTTCTCTTCTTGAACCACCCTTCAGATTACTATCTATTACATTCAAACTTGACCCTTTCTTCCAGTTTTCCCATACCTGCAAATTACATAGCTTAACACCGTTCAGAATTCCCAGAAAACAGGATAATATTACCATTTTTTTTCTTCCCCAAATGGTGTAAATTGTTGAATTTGCCTTACATAAGTTGGAAGACTCCCTGTTTCCTCATGGAAGAAGTGACTGATTTTTTCACCAGTGATGATTTCCAGAACCAACACGCCGAAGCTATATACATCGGATTTGACTGAGAAATGCCCCTGTTTTACATATTCTGGAGCCATGTAACCACTGTAAACGATAAGATGCAAAGTAGATTTCAGTGACAGTTGAATATTTAATGCTTACCATGGCATTTGAGAGGAGACTTACAATGTTCCCACAATTCTGCTTGTATCGGTATGAGTTTGATCCAAATTGAACAACTTTGCCATTCCAAAATCTGAAATTTTAGGATTCATCTCTGCGTCCAATAGAATGTTATCGGCTTTTAAGTCTCTATGAATGATTCGTAGTCGAGAATCTTCATGAAGATAGTGAATCCCTCGAGCGATGCCACCTATGATTGTGTATCTGAGCTCCCAATTCAACAACAAACGCTTGGTTGGATCTACAAATTTAAAAGAAAAATGTAAAACAACTCACTTTATGGTAAAACAATGTTAACAGCAAAGAAATGGTATCATACGGAATATAAAGTTGTTAAGGCTTGATGCAGGCAGAAACTCATAGACAAGAAGCCTTTCCTCTCCCTGTATGCAAAACCTATAAGCCTAACCAAATTCCTATGCTGAAGCCTTGCCATTAATATGACTTCATTCTTAAATTCGGATTCTCCTTGTTCAGAGTTTCTAGACAGCCTCTTTACAGCGACTTCTTGTCCGTCAGGAAGTGTTCCCTTAGGCAACAAACAGGAAAAATATGAATCTATTCCTATGCGATGTGACTTATTCTTCCATTGCAGTATCTGATTACCTTGTAAACAGTACCGAATCCACCTTGTCCGAGCTTATTATTGTTGGAGAAGTCCATTGTTGCTTCTTTGATAGTGCTGAAGTCGAGTTGCAATGACTGTCTGCTGAAGTCAAATGGCATTCTGTTGCTGACGTGTTCATCTGCAACATCAGAAACTGAATTGGTGACCATATATGTACCTGGAAACAAAAGTGAAATGGTATGGTCACTTACTTTTCGTCCCGCTCCTCGTCTTCTTCCTTATCTTTAAAAGCATGATGCAAGTAAGAGTCACGAATGCTGTTAAAGTAGCAATTGAAACAACGATGAATATAGCTGTTCGAGAAGTGGCGCTTCCTTTATCTGCAAAAGCCAGCAACATAATCATTTATAGGAAATGTGACCATTATTAGAGGTCCAGTGTACCTTTCTTTGCTATTGTATCAGTAGAACGTGGAGGAGGTGGTAGAGACCGGACTGGGGCCTCAGCTGAAGATTCGTAAAAGGGATACAAATCCCATCTGAAGAAACAGTTAGGCTTATGGACGAATCCTCCCTGCCTCCCGTGGCAACGTCTTCGATAGTCATCCACACAGACTCGCAGGCAGTTGGAGCAGTCCCTCTGAGATAGAGCCGGTGTACACTGCATGAGCGAATATATCCTCCGAAGGTTGGTGAAATCCGTTTCCTCGGTTGCAAACGAGCCCATGGAAGCTTTCCTCTCCAAACTATCAGTTAAATTCCCCCAAACCTCATCAAAATGTGTTAAATTTGAGTCTATATTGTTGTCATTACAGCCTATGTTGGTTGGATCTAGCTCCAGGGTTCCAACGATAGAGCGATTCGTATAGCGTACTATACATGGTGGATTCCCCGGTCCCCATGAAATGGCTTCCTTTTGGCTGTGACACTCGGCTAAGATGCCTCGAGTCGCTGATTCGATACGGTCGGAACAAACTTGATCAGAAGCGTCCCCTCTGCAAAGCCCCAGAGCATATACTTTGTTGGGGTCTTGGCCAATGCTGCCACTGAAGAAACCTCCATTTTTTGAGACATTGATCGAGAGAGAAGCAAGAAGGAGGTCACGATTTCTACCGTACGTACTATCTGTTGTGAAGTTCCCAGTTTCATAGCAAATTTGGGCAGTGGTAAGACCCATGGCTAAGATCATTTGACATACATGAAAAACCAAAATGTTGACAAGCATTGTGGGATTCTGTGCTAGCTTCCCCTCAGTTCCCGTCTTTTCCAAGATAACTGTTTTCTACATTCAGACATCATGTTATTCTCCGGGCGAGGACCGGTGTCTTAATTTCTACCTTTTTCGTTTTTTCCAACTAACATAACATAAGGAAGGTTTTTCGAACGTATTTATCCAATATTAATAAAAAAATTACATAAGAAAAGTTTTATCGAGTTAAACTGTTTTATTGACTTTAAGAATTTAACTCTCCCAGGCCTACCTCGTGCCCAAAAGGGTAAATTACTGAAGTAGCCACTCACTTATTATTTAGTTTATGTTTTAATCACTCAACTATTATTTATTTTATATCATACTTAATGTTACGTTTTTGTTCTGTTTTGGTTACTCGTCTTTAAAAAAATTAACGGTGATGTTGAGTTGCCATCATAAGATAATATCACGTTATGATTGAAAAATAATTAAAAATGTCATGTTAGCATCATTGTTAATTTTTTAATGGTAGGAGATCAAAACATAACCAAAACGTAAGGTTATGTATGATTTTGAAAAACTAATAGTTGAGAGACCAAAACATAAATTAAGTAATAGATCACACACCAAATAGTTAGTTTACCCGAAATAAAAAATATGTATAAATTATGTTAAGAAAATTATATTGGTCCAATTAATATGTTTTTTCTAGATTTATTCCAAATATATCTATGTATATAATTGTTATTATATTTTTAAATATAAAAATACATATGAAATTTTTTAAATAATATTTTTATTTTTATTTATATTAGACTAGCTTATAATTTTTTTTTTCTGAATTCGCTACTATTTTAAACTTTATAGCTTACAGTCAAACTTTAATGAGCCAGTCTCCTTTCAATCAACTGCTTGGATTCCCCGGTATTGACGGTACACGAAGATAAACACAAATGAAAGAAAATCTCCCATTGTTTTGTTGAAAAGTTTATGAGTGTACATTTACCTAAAAGGAACATCTTCATAATTATTCAGAAGGACTGCCGCACGTGTATGCGCTAAATCTAATGTTGGGGCAACCTACTATTCTATCTCTCTATTATCTTATTATTTATGGGAATAGAATTATCTAATTTTCATAATTATTCAGAAGCTTTTAGGGTGCTTATAGAGCTAGTTGGATCACAAATTGAGTAGTGTTAGATTCATAAAAAATTTATTATTGACTTGACTCGTTACTCGTTAAGTTTAATATATTTTTATTCGATTCATACTTGTTAAAAAAATATTACTCAATATATTACTTGTTACTCGACTCATTACTCGTTAAATTCGCTAAAAGTTTTACCTTATCTTTTAACAATGTGTATAATTTAGTGAATTAATAATGAGTAATTAATAATTTGAAATCTTTCTTATTATTTAGCATATTAATAATTATTAATTACACTTTTTTAATGAATTTTTTTAAAGTAACTTTTAACAAATTAACGAATTACCTATGAATTTATTAAATCGAATTAAATTTTATTCAACTTGCTTCGTTAATGTCTTAATCAAACATTAGCTGAGTCAATTTCGAGCCATTCATGGACTATTCAACTTATTACAACAACAACAATAAAGTCCTAATCCCATATACAATTGGGTAAGAGGAGGTAGGGTAATAGACTGCTCCTAAAGCTAAGTTGAGAGCAGTTTCCGTGGAAAATCTATGACAGTTAAAAAATTAAAAAATAAAGATAAAATATAATGCATGTATAAATAAATAAACAAATAAATACATAATTGAACAGTATTCATATGCAGCCTTCATCTACGCGTTTATAATTAAAAGTAATCCCTATAAATAAATTCATGCGTAAAATTTTTTTTAAACCTTGTTTGACCTGCCACTGTGAATGATTTTAACACGCCATTACATTTTCAGAAGAAATTATAAATAAATATAGTTGTTTTATTATATTCATACCCAGCACTCCCATCTCAATCAATTACTCGTTCTTATATCATTAAGTTCTGAATGTTCCATTGATTGTAGTCATAGCGTGTGAACTGCGAATCCCTTTAAGAAATTTCATTTCTTTGCTAGTGGTCATCAACCACTTCATCCCCTTTGACCATCTCCTGATAAAATAACAATAATTTCACTTCCCACAAAAAATATCATTTTCCATTACCTTTAGCTTTTTATTGAAAAAAATAATAATCTGATTTGATGGCTAATACAACTTGGAAAAGAAGATGGATACCCAGCACCCAGTATTTGATGATCATTACCTAAAGGTCTAGTTTGGTGGCTAGTATAACTTGAGAAAGGAGAAGGATCCATACCCATTTTTCCTTCAAATAATTAGAGTGAAAAACGTCTTAGATGAATCAATTTGGTTGGGTCTATATGGGTTCTTCAAGAGTCAAGACTGCTGTTCCTTTTTTATTCTATTCTCCCGTTATTCGTTGCTAATCTCAGCCTTGGAGCCGATCCCTTCTTCCAATCCCGTTGTGTGAACACAGCCGGTAACTACACTGCAAACAGCACCTACCAGGCCAACCTCAACACCATCTTCTCTCAGCTCACTTCTCAAACAGATTTCAACTATGGCTTCTATAATCTGTCGGCTGGTCAGAACTCCAACCGTGTTAACGCGATTGCACTCTGCAGGGGAGACAGAAACCAAAACGATTGCAACACTTGTCTAAACGAAACCATATCCCAACTCGGGCAACAATGTCCGTTGTACAAGGAGGTGGTCGGATGGTCTGAGTTTTGTACGCTGCGCTACTCCAACCGAGACATATTTGGAGAAATGGAAACAACTCCCGGCTCTTGTCTATATAACACGCAGGAGTGACGAATGCTGATCAATTCAATGCGGCATTGGATAACTTGTTGAATTACCTGAGCAGCCGAGCCGCCTCGGCGGGTCCTCTCCGGAAGTATGCGGCGGATAACTCGACTGTAGGCTTGTTTCAAAGAGTATACGCTCTGGTACAGTTCAGTCCGGATTTGGCCGAGCAACAATGTGGCGATTGTTTAAGTGTGGCTAAGAATGGGATTGGAAGTTGTTGCTTAGGAAGAAGGGGATGCCGAATTCTTAGACCAAGTTGTTTCTTGAGGTATGAGTCTGACCAATTTTATCAGACTCCAATTCCGCTACCGTCAACTCCGCCCCCTGCGACTCCTCCTCCTCCTCCTCCTCCCCCTCTACTACTAGAGGTAAAGTGTCTCCTCCATTTACATTTAAATTTAAATTTAAATTTAAAAGAGGATTAATATTAGGATAAATTATATCATTGATCATCTAACTATTTATCTCTCGATGTTTTGATTTTATAAATTAGGTCATCTAATCATTTAATTGATGCTAATCAAACTATTAATCGTCAACATTTAATGGAAAAGATAACGTAAAAGTTAAAAAAATTTGTATTACACATTTGATTCTAATTTTAATAAATTAAAATAAATTTAACTCTTAAATCATAACGTGTCATGTGTTACTTGTGTCATATAAGTGACTTGAAAAATAATAATTTTTAAAAATAAATCTTATAGTTTTTCATTTCTTTTATTTTTTTTATTTTTCATATTTTTAAGAATTGAATATATATTTTCACAGTTCTTTAATATCTTACTTCTTATATATTTATTACTTTTAAATAAATTTTTAGAATTTTATTTTTAGTACTGAAGGATCATATAATTGATTTGAATATTGATAAATTGACAAAATAATTGACGTCCGTTTGATGGATCTATACTTTTTTTTTCAATCAATTGGTTCAATTTGACAAAGAAGTTTGAGGACCAAAAGAGAAAAAATAATTTAAGGATTAAAATGAATTTTTCAGAAATTTAAAGGATAAAAGTGTCATTAGACCTAAGAAAAAATATACGTTAGTCTCCTTTGTCTACTATACTCAATTATTAAAGGGACTATAAAACTAGTTTGCGACTTTGGCACTCTCTTTCCCAAAAATATTTAATCTTATCTTCATCTTTAGTTAGGCCTTGACTTTTCTTTTTCTTAAAAAAAATCACGGAAAGAGAGAAATAAAAGTGTTCTTGAATTCAAGTCAGATACACATCAATTTAACTTTCTTTTACAATAAAAAAAACTTATGATTTCGTCATGCTTCTAACTTATTTGGCCCATTTATTTAATTTAACATAATATCAAAATTAGTTCTCAATGTTTACGAAAATATCATTTTGATCATTATTTTTTGGGGTCATTTTGATTTTTGACTAATAATATTTCACTTTAAGATAAAAAGACCCTAACATTTGACAAAATAGCCACTTTAACCATTACACTTTTTTCTATAGTATTTTGGCCAATGTTTCATTTTAGGATAAAAACCCCTATTTTGAAATTATAATCGTGTGTTAACTAACAATTTCCATTCATAGAGGGGTCTTTTTGCTTTAAAATAAAATATTAGGAGTCAAAATGTTCCAAAAAAAAAGATGACAAGTGCCGAAATGATAATTTTAGTAGATATTAAGGGGTAATTTTGATAATATCCCATTTTTTTGGTTAAAGCAAGTGCCAATGGCACAATGATCATAGATACACGTTTCTGTCAGAGTGACCAATGAATGTTTGATTAATGAATGTTTGATTGATTGATTTTCTTCAAAAAAAAGTTGAGCTATATCATGGCGATTTGATCAAACTGACACCCTTTAATCGAATATCTCACTTTTTAGCACTGTTTGTTCTATATTTCCCGAAGTGGTAACCTTTCGGCTGAGGTGGCGAAAGGTGCATCCCGGGGATGCGTTTTACCTGATTTTACGCTGAGTTTGATGTCACGTGTGAAAGGCGCATCCCCGGGGACGCCCTTTACCTTTATTTGCTGATTCAGTTGCCACGTGTGAAAGGTGCATCCCCGGGGACGCGCCTTTCATTAAATGTCTTAAATGCCCATCCGATTTTTCCCTAACTATCCCTCCTCCTCCCTTATATAAACCCCCTCAACCCCCTTCATTCTTCACACCAAAATCTTCTTCTCCTTTCTTGTATAACTCAAATTCTCTAAATCTTTGAATTTTAAATTTCTTATTAGTGGTAATAAATTTATTTTTCAGTTATTTTTTTAAATAATTATTATATTTTATATTAATATAATTATATAAATATTATTTTTTATTAAAATAATATTTATATAATTATTATTTATTTAAATTTATTAATTAATTATTTTTTGTGCTAATTATTATTTTTTGTCTACAGTTATAATGGAAAGTGAAATACTGTTGCGATTGGATGCTGACCATATCTCCAGATATTTTAGCGATATGATAATATTTTTTTATAATTAATGTTAATATTTATTGTTATGTTTAATTTAAATTTATTATGAATTTATATTAATTTTAATTTTTTATAATGCATATTATTTAGGATATTGATCGTATTTTAGAGATTTATTAAAAATTCACGTATACCGACACCGGAACATATTTTGCCATTTTTGGTTTCTGCCGGGTTCGGATATATTACAACAATCATTGGCGGTTGCAAACTCGAACATGTCCTAATTTCTGCATTGATTGAGAGGTGGATGCTCGCGACACACACTTTTCACCTTCCATGTGGAGAGGCTACAATTACATTAGAGGATGTCTCTATGCATTTGGGGCTTCCCGTCGATAGAAATATGATGTGTGGTATGGCGGATGGTGATTGGCAGTCCGCCAGAATTTAATGGAGGTAGAATAACTTTATCTTGGTTGAAAGCTAATTTTGAGGTTTTAAATGAAAATGCTTCAGATGATCAAGCAAAGGCATGTGCCGGGCATATATTCTACGAATAATTGGAAGAATATTGATGCCCGACAAATTTCGCAACCAGGTGCATTGTATGTGGTTGCGGCATCTGATCGATTTTGATGAAGCTGGAAGATATAGTTGGGGTGCTGCAGTTTTGGCATTTCTCTTTAGAGAAATGTGTCGGGCGACGAATTATAAGAAAACTGCTATCGGTGGATGTCTCCTGCTTCTGCAATCATGGGCGTGGTTCTGCATACCTTTCTTATGTCCGATCATGAATGAACTATACATATTCCCCTTATTGTTAAGGTAATTATCGAACTAAATTTTGATTTAAATATTTTTAATTAAATAGGGTGATATTTAGTTTATATTATATTTCATAGGTGGTCGATGAAAAGAAAGAACCATAGAAGTATACCTATTGGGTTAGAGGAAATTCGTCTACTTATTGATACAAAAGCTGGGTCTGAGGTATATTTTTACACCTGTTTAAATATTAATATTTTAATTTAAAATGCTAGATATAATTAGAATATTTTATTTATTTGAATTGTATATTTATATTTCAGTTTCAATGGATACCTTATGCGAGCGATGAAGTGAAGGCTTGCATCCCACTCCACCTTGGTGGGTCATTAGAGGTTTGGATATCAGTTATACCTCTTATATGTTATGCTATTATTGAGTGGCATCTAGTTGATTGTGTGCTCCGTAGTATGGTTGTACGCAATATATTCCTGGAGCACCTAGGAATTTAGACGACGTGCATAACATATATAGAAGAGGAAAGAAAGATGTTAACTGGGTGGTGAGACACAAAGATTGGATTGCTCTTTGGGAGAACCAGTATGCACAGTTGGCCCCTCGACAATATTACGCTGAAACTGGTCATATGGTTACGGATAACTATATGTACTGGTTTAATGAAAATGGAAGTTGTTTCTACTTTCGGCGTAAGCACGAGGGGTTAGCATTCCTAGGCGCCGAGAAATACGTCAACCATCTCAATATCATCATCCTCTGACGCATGGACGGAGAGAAGGTGTTATTGGTTCTGCATCAGTCCCACCACAACATCCTTATCCACCGATGCCACAATGGTACATGCCCATCCCTCCACTTCAATGCCATCTCCTCAGGGGTATATGCCAAGCCCACCAGTTCATATGTCATCTCCGCAAGGTTACATTCCTAGCCCGCAGGGTTCATTCCTAGCCCGCCAGGCTACATGCCTAGACCGCAGGGTTTTATACCATATGGAGGTGCATATACGGCTATGTTTAATGATCCAACATATAGTTCATATGCATCTTATTTGGCTGGTGGTGCTTCTCCTCAGACACCTCAATCTCCATATGGATCACAGACATTGATGCCAATGTTTCCACAGTTTTCATAGTTCCCGGGGAGTGGTGGGATGGTTAATAGCACTCCTCCAGGGTCGTTATTTTATACAGCCCCTTCAGCGTCATCTACGCCAAATGAAGAAAATGCCGATGATGATGATAGTGAAGATGAGGAGACTGAAGAACAAGTTTCACGAAGAAATCCTCCGCGAAATAGACAACCACCACCATGTGGAACTCATTCGAGAAGACGACATCGGTGATCCAGTTGTATTTTAATGTTCTTTAAATAGTTATATTTCATAAATTTATGTAATTTGGTTATGTTATTTAAATGTTTCATGGTTGTTACTATCAATATTTTAATGTTTTTTTATTTAAATTTAACATTAAATGTTTAATAAATGTTTTTAACAAATTATAGTATTCGAAATTTAAAATTAAAATACAAATAATATTATTCGAAATTTAAATTTAAAATATAAATTATAGTATTCGAAATTTAACATTAAATTCAAGTTAATATTCCAATTGTATTCGAAATTAAAAGTTATATTCCAATTATAGTTCACAGTACTTAAATTGAAATTAAATTTATCCATACATATGATTTTATCATTAACATATATATTAAAACGTATACATTAAAATCAACTTATCACTTCACATTTATTCGTAAAAACATGTCGATGCTCATTCCATACAATTTCAATGTCACAATAAACTTATCACTTCACATTTATTCAATTTATCCATAACATTTTATCTAATTTATTCAAACTTCACATAACATTTTAATTTAAGTTATGAACTTAAATTTATCTATATATATAATTTTATCCTTAACTTGTTGAACTTCCAAAAGAAGTTAAATTTTGGTTATAATTTACCTGATTTCACCATCCATCTATAGTTCCCCAGGAACGCGCCTTCACGATCCCCTAAGGAATAATAGGTATTGACATGAATAGTTCATGGGGGACATAAGTGACATAATAGGGTAATGATAACATATTCTCTGACAAAATAATGGAAGGCGCGCCCCCGGGAACGCGCCTTCACGGTCCCCTAAAGAATAATAGGTATTGACATGAATAGTTCCCGGGGGACATAAGTGACATAATAGGGTAATAATAACATATTCTCTGACAAAATAATGGAAGGCGCCCCCCCCCCGGGAATGTGCCTTCACGGTCCTCTAAGGAATAATAAGTATTGACATGAATAGTTCCCGAGGGACATAAGTGACATAATAGGGTAATGATAACATATTCTCTGACAAAATAATGGAAGGCGCGCCCCCGAGAACGCGCCTTCACATGAATAGTACCCCGGTTATAGACACTATTAGATGCAACGTATTATAAACTTTCAAAACAAACTTCAGTTCACAAGCTTTAAAATTCTCAAACTCTAAATTTCTCAAAAATCTCAATCCTCTATTCTCTGAAAATGAGTCATTTTTATGTTATTATTTTGTATGATGGAGAAATTAAACAAGCTGAAGAGAGGGTTGTTTTTGAGTCAGATCATTATATCCCCTTAACCTTGAAGAGAAACATCACTCTTGAGGAGTTAATCACAAAAATTTCGTTAAAGATTTGTAGCAGGCCGGAGAAGACTATCTTCACTTCAGTACAGATTTCCTACTGAACTTTTTCCGCTCACGTATACATCATTTCAGCTTTCAAACGATGATGATGTTTCTATGATGGTTGATACTCATATGAGAAGTTCACAATCTCTTATTGAAATGTATCGTCTTTTATTGAGGTTTGTGCTTCTCGTAGTCTTCCATATTCCTCTCACTTTGGCATTGTATATCAAGCTGATCAAGTTGATAGCCCGACACAACTGATCTGTAATGATTTCACATCATTAATGGTGGATCCAACACCAGATGACATGCCATCAAGTTCAGTAGGAAGGCATTCATCTGCAACTGCTTATGATCTCAACCCACGTGGTTTCACCAATAATCCATATGGCAACATCTCTTCTACTTCAAGGGGTAGACATTCATCTACCAATGTTTTCGATTTACATATGGAAATGTCAACGAGACGACAGTCTATTCACATCTCACATGATACAATGACCTCAAGTTCAAGAGGAGGACACACAAGCGGGAACTTATTTGACCTCAACATTAGATTATCGGAGGAACCATCATCTCCACCAGAAGAACCTCTTCGGGAGCCAGGTGCAGATGGTGCTGAAATGGGATTATTCGTTGAACTGACTCACCACAGTTTAACGTACATTCTGATGATAACGAGGATGACGTTCCGATAAATACAACACCAGCCAAACTTCCTGCACATATGTATGGGGCTGATTATGATGCAATGTATGAGCCCGAATTTCCAGATCTTCCTGATGTTGGCAACTATGGACTTCAATCAACAGTTAATGACGGTGATTTACATATTGGAATGGAGTTCGCATCGAAGGAGGAAGCAATGATGGCAATAAAGAGTTACAATATTTGTAACTCAGTTCAGTCCCGAGTTGATCGATCTAACACAGAGAAATATGTCTGCTACTACGTCCAACGTGACAACGGATGTCAATGGATGGTTAGTGTATCAAAGAGGAAGAGAAAGAATAACTTATGGGAACTAACCAGATACAACGGTCCTCATACGTGTTTGCAAGAGGTATAAACCAGGATCATCCCAACTTGGACTCCAACATTATTTGCCAAGCAATCATGCCTATTATGAAGCAAAGCTCTCATATAGCTGTTGCAGTGTTGATTTCTGCTATACAGTCACAATATGGGTACACCGTCTCATATAAAAAAGCTTGGTTGGCAAAACAGAATGCCATTTGCAAACTTCATGGCGAATGGGATTCATCTTACAACGAGCTGCCCAGTTGGTTTCATGTTGTGCAAAGACTCAATCCCGGGACAATTGTTGAGTTCGAAACTCAACATCATTACGTGAATGATCGAGTGGTTCGTGATCGCTGCCAATTCTATCGTGTTTTTTGGACTTACCCTCAGTGTATTAATGCAATCAAGTACTATAAACCAATTGTCCAAATTGATGGTACTTTTTTGTATAGGAAATACAAGTAAGTTTTATTATTGGCTGTGGTCCAAGATGGAAACCGCAATATTCTTCCTGTTGCGTTTGCCCTCGTTCAAGGAGAAGACACTGAGTCTTGGGCTTTTTTCCTTAAAAATTTACGTTTACATGTTGTCACCAGGGAACGAGTATGCATTATTTCAGACCGAGGAGCCGGGATAAAAGCAGCAATGGACTCTTTGGGTATAATGTATAGACCTTCACATGTTCAACATCGTTATTGTGTCCGTCATATTGCTGCAAACTATTACAGAAAATACAAGAAGAACGATGAACGTCAATTAGTCATGCGGATGGGTATGTTACTTTTCCCCAATTTTTCTATTTTTTTCGTATTACTTATTTATACTTCATATTAACTATTACATATTCCTAATGGCTTAGGTTACGAACTCTTACTTCAAAGGTTTGAGTCGATGCTACAAGAGTTGTTTGGCAAAAATAAGAAGGGGTGCGAGTACATTGTGAACATCAACAAAGAAATGTGGACAAATGCGTATGACGGGGGTATCGCTATGGTCATATGACAACAAACTTGACTGAAGCAATAAATTCAACCTTAAATGGGGCGTGTCATTTACCAGCCACGACATTGGTCAAAACGACTTATTTTCGTTTGGGTCAACTCTTTGCAAAGCTCAGTGGACAAGCTCTTACTTGGATGCAAAACGGTCATATTTACCACCCAAGACTAGTAGCTGATTTACAGAAAAAAGTGGCTGCATCAAATGGGATGTTGGTTAAAAAATTTTCTCGCACCCGTGAATTGTTTCGTGTAACCGAAATGCCACGTCCGTTGCAAGGGATTGAAGCTAACTCTTTCAGAGTTAATCTGCATGAGAGGTGGTGCGATTGTGGTTTCTTTCCAGCACTCAAATATCCATGCTCTCATGTCATTGCAGCTTGCTCACATTCGTATTTGGACTACAAAAATTATGTTGATCCCGTATACCAACTTTCACAAGTATTCAAGGTATATGAATTTGAGTTTTCGCCATAGGAACGAAAGAGACCCATATCAGATTCAAACTTGGCTTACAATTGTACCAGATCCATTGCTATTGAGAGACTCAGGTCGTCCAAAATCTACTAGAATACATTGTGATATGGATATTCGGGAGAAGTCAACAGAAAAAAAACGATGTGGGCATTGTAGAAACATCGGATACAATAGAAAAAAATGTCAAACTCTATTATCATCACATAATCGTTAACCCTTATGTAACATAATATTCTATTTAAATGAATGTTTTTGTTTCTAATATTTAAATGTAATTGCATTTTATATAATTTCTCAATGTATAATAATAATAACAGATTAAATGTGTAATTATACTAATTTTATTAACTTATGCATCAATATTTTGGTTAAATAATAATAACAGATGACTATATTGATAATATTTAAATAATTAAGTGATCAAATTAATAGATCGATAATCAAAATAAAAAATAATAATATAACCATACGTGTAATATAATAATTTATACATTTTTCATATAACTAAAATAAAATAAAAACTAGTTTTCATCTGTTGTTTTATCCGATTAATGTAGATAATACACTCCACCTTTAACACACATTAAAAAAATACATTCGATAATTATTAAATTATAACTGAAACAATTTACATAATATATTATTAATTTATAATAACAATAAAAATAAAATTTTTATTATTAAAAAAATACCGCATGGCAACTGAATCAGCAAAATAAATGTATTATTAAAAAAATACCGGGGATGCGCTTTTCACACGTGACATCCAACTCAGCGTAAACCAGGTAAAGCGCGTCCCCGGGGATGCATCTTTCGCCACCTCAGTCGAAAGGATGTCACTTCGAGAAATATAGAACAAACGGTGCTAAAAAGGGAGATATTCGATTAAAGGGTGTCAGTTTGGTCAAATCGCCTATATCACGCGTTAGGGGTGTTCATTCGGTTAAAACGGTGGCCGACCGAACCGAATTAACCATAACCGAATTAACCAAACTTTTTTTTTCTTTAACCGTTAACCGAACCGAATTTTTTTTCGAACATATTAACCGAACCGAATAAATTTCGGTTAATTCGGTTAATTTCGAATTAACCGATTTTTTTTTTAATTTTCTAATTTATATAAAATTAATATTTTTTAATTCAAAAAAAGTTTATAATTAATTTAAATAATAAATAATTATAAAATAAAAATTTTAGATAAATTTTTTAATTAATTAATATTGATTTAATTTTAAAAGTTATTGGATCTTAAATTATTAATTAGGTTTTAAATGGTTTGGGCTTAGCCCATATGTTATATATAATATATTTAATATTTTTTAATTAAAAAACAGTTTACAATTAATTTAAATAATATATAATTATAAAATAAAAAATTTATATAATTTTTTAATTAATTAATATTGATTTAAGTTTAAAAGTTATTGGATCTTAAATTATTAATTGGGTTTTTAATGATTTGGGTTGAGCCCATATGTTATATATAATATTTAAAATTTAAAATTTAATTTCGGTTAATTCGTTAATTAAATTAATTATATACAATTATTAATTGGGTTTTTAATGATTTGGGTTGCTGTCAAAAGACTATCAAACGAAGGAGAGTTGGAATTTAAGAATGAAGTCCTGTTAGTGGCCAAGCTTCAACACCGAAATTTGGTTAGGCTCCTTGGATTCTGCTTGGAAGGACATGAAAGGCTTCTCGTTTATGAGTTTGTGCCCAACACAAGCCTTGATCATTTCTTATTCGGTACCGATTTCGTCCTACTACGTCGAATATATACATATGTGTAGATTGTTCTGAGACTTGTGTGTTACCGTCTAACATATATAGATCGAGTCAAGCGAGCGCAGTTGGATTGGGAGCGTCGATACAAAATCATCGGAGGCGTCGCTCGTGGCCTCCTTTACCTTCACGAAGATTCTCGACTGAGGATAATTCACCGGGATCTTAAAGCGAGCAATGTTCTGTTAGATGCAGAGATGATTCCGAAGATTGCAGATTTCGGAATGGCAAGGCTGTTTGTACGGGACGAAACGCAAGGCAACACCAGCAGAGTTGTGGGAACCTAGTAAGAATAAAAACTTCCTTCGTATATTGAATCTCTATACAATCGAAATGTTCATCGAATTCGAGAATGACATTCGGAATGTTCACATGTAGTGGATACATGGCACCCGAATACGCCATGCGCGGCCAATTCTCGGTAAAATCAGACGTTTTCAGTTTTGGTGTGATAGTTCTGGAAATCGTAAGTGGTCAGAAAAACAATTGTTTCCGAAATGGTGAAACCGTGGAGGACCTAATAAGCTCTGTAAGTATGATCATCTAAAGCTATAGCAGGTGTCAAAAACTCGAATCCGGAGCTCATCGAAATTCATACTTGTTGCAGGCATGGAAACATTGGAGACAAGGGACGGCAATGGATCTACTCGATCCGACACTGAGAGACGGTTCGAGGAATGAAATGATGAGGTGAATTCACATCGGATTGCTATGTGTTCAAGAAAACGTAGCCGATAGACCAACCATGGCTACAGTCATTCTGATGCTTAATAGTTTTCCAGTCACCTCCCAATGCCTTCCCAACCAGCTTTTTCATGCACTCCGACATCGGATCGGACATGTCATCTTCGATGGTGTCCGAATCGTACCAATCTAAAAGTGAAGAGCTGCCATTGTCCAAGAATGAAGCTTCCATTACTGATCTGTATCCTCGATAGTGTTTGCAGAATTAACTTCCATCTTCGTGGTCAAACCTTAATTGTGAGAAATTTAGAATAATGTTTTCTTTTATCCACCTTTTTCAACTTTCTACGCATGCAGTTGACTTTTTTTTGTTTAGAAATTCCTGTACGCATACTGCTTTAGAAATAGTAAAAAATAAAATAATTTGGAGAGTTGGTCTCAATTTGATTTCTTCAAATTTGGAAGTATTTGACTATATTCAACGACACAATAATATATTTAATATAAACCAAATTCAGAAGTATTGTATATTAGGAAAAGCACAATGAGATTTCAATTCTACCGTTATTAGTTTTTAGAGTTAATTATATATTTTATATGCCCCCAAACTACGAATCAACGCTCTTTGGAGTTAAGTCGAGTTGAGTAAAAATTTTTCAAGTTATTCAAGTTGACGACCGTATTTTATAACTCAAAGTTGAATTAAAATTTTTTTCAAGTCAAGTCGAGTTGAATCAAATTTTTGAATTTTTATTTAAATTTAATTACAAATATTTATAATATTATGATATTATTTTATTTTAATTTAAATATTTTTTATAACCATATACAATACATATATATTTCTTCATATTTTTTTCATATGTGATATACATATATCATACAGAGTCGAGGGACTTAACTCAAACTTGAAAATTATTTCACTAGTTATTAAAAATTCGAGTTATTCAAGTTGTATTTTACAACTCGATTTGAACTTGAAGTTTTTTACAACTCGATTTGAACTTGAAGATTTTTACAACTCAATTTGAACTTAAAGTTTTTTCGAGTTGAGTTGAAAAAATCAGTTTTTTGAGTCGAGTCGGAAAGATCAATTTTTCGAGTCGAGTCGATTTTTGCTCATCCCTACCCCCAAACAATGACACTCATTTTAAATTAGACTTTAAATTGTTGGATATTTTAATTTTATCCCCAACACTATGACTTACATCCTAGCTTAGTCTTCAAACTTTTGAATATTCTAATTTTATCTTCAAACTATAACTCTTATTTTAAATCAGTCCCCAAATTCTCAATATTTTAATTTCATCCTAATCTATGGGTATATGCAAATCACATTCTGTATTAATAAAATTGTTAGGTCAAGCTATATTATTTTATATTTAAAAAATTAGTTAAACTATGATTGAAATTAAATATATATTTGGAAGAACTTAGGGATGAAATTAAAAGATTTAAAAGTTTAAAATTAATTTAAAATAAAAATTATAATTTGAAATGAAATGAAATCAATCAAAAATTTAAATATTTATAATAGAATTAACTTTTGTTAAAAATTTATAATAGTATCCCCTCCTCACCGCTAATAATCTAAACTTTTTAAAGAGGTTAAAAAAATGCATTTGGTATCGTATACTAATTTTGTTATCATATACAAATACATCATTAATGAATAAATAAATTTAAAATTATAAATAAAATAATTATATTTGTTAACAAATGGTATCATATTAATGACACACATCAACTAAACCTACGTACAAATTAATTTATTATAAGCCCGAAACGTTGACTATTTGACGTATTCAGCTCAGATAAATTATAAATTTTGGACCAACACGTCTACGTAGTCATTTATAAATACTTCGATGACCCAGAATCCTTTTTCACAGGATTTCCATAGCTATTAGATTGAAACCATGGAGATTGGTTCATCAGCACTGCTTTTCCTGTTAGTTCTCATCTTTGTTTTCACCTTCGGTACTGCCCAGAACACTAATCCGACGGCTTCAAGTTGTTCAGATAGAGGAAACTTCACCGCCGGTAGTACCAACGAGGCAAACCTCAACACCCTCCTCTCTTCTTTCTCCTCAATCACTGCGAATGATTACGGTTTCTACAATCTGTCCGTCGGCCGAGATCTCGATACCGTTAACGTGATCGCACTCTGTCTAGGCGATGTTCGGCCTGATGTTTGCCTTAGTTGTATCAATAATGCCATGACTGAGATCACAAGTGCTTGTCCCAACAGGAAGGAAGCAATCATTTGGTATGATTTTTGTATGTTGCGTTATTCGAATCGTTCCATCGTCGGTGTTCTGGACCGTAGCGTCGTCATCAGGTGTCTAATTCTTTGAATGTTACGGATCCGGACAGTTTTAATCAAGCCTTGAACAATTTGCTGGTTGATCTTATGAATAGGGCCTCATCGGGTGGCTCTCTTAGCAAGTTTGCAACAGGGAATGTAATAGATCCGGTTTTGCAGCCAATATATGCACTTGAGCAGTGCACCCCTGATTTGTCCCAGGAAGAGTGCACCACCTGCTTGGAGACAGCTTTGCCGATAATCCCAGATTGTTGCGGTAAAAGATGGGGAGGCCGGGTGATTTTGCCGAGCTGTTTCGTGAGGTTCGAGATGCAACGTTTCTACAATGAACCAACCAATGAAACCACATCAAATTCCAACAGTAAGACATCTAAGCTTGGATTCAAATATTCAACCTTTCCTCGTAGGAAATTAATCCTGCTTTTTTTTGCAGATAATAACAAGTCTCGAATTATAATAGCCGTCGTAGTTCCGATTACCGGCGTCGCGATAATTATGGTCTTCCTCTACTTCTTTCTAAGAGCTAGGAAGAAGAAGGATATTGTTGAAAGTAAGATTAAGAGTTGAAATTTCTAACTTCATGCAAGTCTGGGAAAGCATTTAGCTATGTTTTGACTAGTTCTACATTTATTCATTAATAATTACTTGCTCCTACGGCAGCTGTGGACGAAGAAATTATCAACCCAGAGTCTTTGCAATTTGATTTTGACACCATTAAGATTGCAACAAATAACTTTTCTGATGAGAATAAGCTTGGTCAAGGTGGTAAACCAAATGTCATACATATGAAATAAAGCACTGACATTCCGCAGATTGTGTGTGCGTTATCAATAGATTAAAAAAAATTCTGAAAAGATATTATCTTGTCGATTCGATATTTTCAGGGTAGGCTTTCCTCTGGACAAGACATAGCTGTGAAAAGATTATCCAGGGAATCCGGACAAGGAGACCTGGAATTCAAGAATGAAGTCATCCTGGTAGCCAAACTTCAGCACCGGAACTTAGTCCGGCTGCTTGGTTTTAGCCTCCAAAGAACCGAAAGACTTCTTGTCTATGAATTTGTACATAATGCAAGCCTCGATCGATTCATATTCAGTATGTATGCATTTAAACTTGAATTCATTTACCATATAAGTGAGCATGTCTGATATATCTTAATTTTATATATCCAGATCCCAAAATGAGGGAACAATTGGATTGGGAAACACGATACAAAATCATAGGAGGAATCGCTCGGGGACTACTTTATCTTCATGAAGATTCTCGACTTCGAATCATTCATCGTGACCTCAAAGCTAGTAATGTTCTTCTAGAAGCAGATATGAATCCAAAAATTGCAGATTTCGGCATGGCAAGATTGTTTACCATGGATGAAACCCAGGGCAACACAAGTAGAATTGTGGGAACCTAGTAAGTTCCTAAAGTACTAACATTTTCTACATGATAAACGATATATATGATTCTAACCAATTGTTCTTATTGTTTATCTGCAGTGGTTACATGGCGCCGGAATACGCAATGTACGGACAATTTTCCGTCAAGTCCGACGTCTTTAGCTTCGGAGTATTGATTTTGGAAATCGTCGCCGGGCGTAGAAACAATTGTTTCAACGATAGAGATAACATGGAAGATCTTCTGAGCTATGTAAGTATATATATTGAAATAATTTTTAAACTTGGTGATCAGATTTATAAAATTGAAAATTTGCTGCAGTCTTGGAAAAACTGGAGGGAAGGGACAACGGTGAATCAGATAGATTCGGCTTTGAGGATTTCCTCAAGATCGGAAATGACGAGATGCGTACACATTGGATTACTCTGTGTTCAAGAAAACTTTTGAGTACTTTTAATTTGAGTTATTCTAAGCCCAAATTTTCTACCTAAAACTACACCAATTGAACGACTCGTTTAGACTAAACCAACTAATTGATAATTAGTCATTCTAGTGAATTGATAATTAGTGATTCTAGTGAATTGATATTTTAAATGGGTTTGATAATTTAAAATTAAAACTATTTGTTATAATAATTTTAATAAAAATTATGAGAAATGACAAGTAGAAAGGACTTACTTTATCATTTAAAGGAGAATATTTCAATAATTTCAATTTTAGTTGGTTTAGTTATTGAAAATATTTAATTTAGTCAGATGGTGATACATATCACTAATTACATATGTTATCATTTGATTGAAATATTAAATTTATTAAATTAAAATTAGAATTAAATTGATAGAATGTGTAAGTATTAAGGACCAACTGTATAATTACATCAAATTTGTTAACTGTCACATCAACTACTCTATCAAATTTTAATAACAAATGACTTGATTAATATTATTCAAATAACTAAATGATTTAATTGATAAAATTAAAAGAAGTACAATCAAATTATAATCTCATAATTAAATAGTCATGGGTGTATTTTACATTTATTTTTATAGGGTAAACTACATGTTTAATACATAAACGATTATTTTTATTTTGTTTTGGTATTTAAACTTTATTTTTTAAAATATTCTTAACGTTTAGTTTAGATTTCAATTTCGTATCCCGCCTTCAAAAAATTAATAGAACTGCTGACATAGTATTTTTTATTTTTTTCAATGATGACATGACATCCTTATGGTGACACATCAACATTACCGTTAAATTTTTAATGAAAGGATACTAAAATGAAACTTAAATTATAAGTTAGGTATGATTAATAAGTTTTTGTATCAAAATGGAACAAAAGTAATAGTTTAGGTACTAAACCAGTAGTTTACCCATTTTTATGATGTAAGTGCATAATTGCTATAATGGTAAAAGTACTTTCCCCAGTTTTCAGAATCTGTTTTTGTCAAGAAATGCTTTTTTTTTTAAGGTTAAACTCAACATGGACAATGTGTATGCTGATAACAACATGAAAATATCCGGGTGCTGACAAAGATGACAGATAAAGTATAGATTTGGTAACTTTACCAAGCAACATTAAACATTAACGAACTGGAAGTGACTGAGAAAACTATCAATGATCAACAACTTTGTAGCGACTCACCACTCAGGAGTTGCAACTATCTGATCTGCAAGGGCATAGAACAAAAAAGCACCAGAAAATCACTATTACTGAACCCTTCTGCTTCAGAACTTGGTTTTGGTTTTGGACTCAATGAATGATTATGGAACAAATACAAACAATAGGACTGCCATCGTTATGCCAGTTCCAACTCCATGCAAGGACAATCTCCTTGCACCTGTTTGAGCATTACATAAATGGTTCAATTTCATTTGTATTATGCAGTGGAGATCTGCAACGAATAATGATTGAATGCGATCGGGACTTACCGTCGTTTGCAGTGATGGAAAAGTTCGAATAGAACTGGTAATCATGGTACCACATACTACAACTGGACCCGTAAACCTCCCATCCTCTCTTATTCCCAATTGTGGTTCTGAATGTCATTAGCTGAGTATCCAAGCACCTGTTGCAGTCGGTTCTACTAATGTCTCTGGTGCACTGAGCCATGCCGTACCGCTTCCCGAATCGGCCTGCATCCAACACCGCAGTGTAAAACATCAAAGGCTGCTCCGGCGTCGTTACTGCGACTTCACTCATGAAGGCCAGCCCTCTTGAGATGACGGATGTGTTATCAAAATTGGTTTCATTGACTATTGATGTGGAAGATTGATCCCAGACACCGAAGAAATGCTCGTCCGAATAGCGGAGGAAGCACCATGTTAACCAAACCAGAACCGTTTTGCTCTTGGAGCAATCACGCAAGCTACCGCAACGGATTCTCTCGTACAATTAGCACAGTTTTCTGCAGAAACGTCCCCTCTGCATTGCATAAGACCGTAAATCTTCCCTGATTTCCTTCCTACGGCGGTTTTCAAGAATCCATTACTCGAAGCCCCTTTTTCGGTAAGCAAACCGAGAAGGTTGTCGAGATTGACCCTGAATGAACTTTCCGATGTATAATTATCAGCACCCGAACACTGCAAAGCAGAATTCAGATTCCTATCAGCATGGCATATGGCAAGTGACAACATGAAAACTAAAAATACAACGGAAGTTTGCACCATTTCTGAATTCAACAACTCACTTACATCTCTGTTGCCCGATGGAAATGGCTAAGAGATGGATCAAATGAGCCATTTCTTTTCAAATAATCTTGAATTAGTCTGAAACAATGATGGAAAAAACTTATTTGTTCTTTGTTTTGTTATAAAGGTCAACTCTTGAGCTTGCAACAATCATTTCTCAGCCAGTCAACTGCAACCAGTACCATTTAATTGAGTATGACCTGTGGTAAAAAAGAATGTTTTTTTCTCCAGAGCTCTCTGGTTCGAACAGTTGTGTTTATAAGATGTGTCTGCATTATCAAGAAATAAGATTTTGAACAGATATTATCTTATAATCACCACATACTATTAAAAAAATTACATTTACAAGTTAAATCTCTAAAAGGCATTAAAGAAGCAAAAGTTTGGATAAGAACAAATGATTCCAAGTTGATTGAACTAAATGAGTACTTTTTTATTTTGGGAGAATCCAATGCACATTTGAAGTCAAACAAGGCAATCAATACATGGTGTTGATGTAGGTGCATTTGAGGCATAAAGATCAAGTTGGACATAAAAGAAATTGATTTTAGTCCTTTGATTCTAAGCATTCTCTACACTGATTAGCCTGAACTGAAAGTGACATTGTTGTTTTTCCACTTTGTCCCTGATTGTGATCTTTAACAATTTTTTATTGTCCTTGATTAATGGTCTGAGATAAGCAGTTCATGGACCACTCATGGTGGGATTTGGCATTTTAAGTCGAGAGGGTCCCTCTTGTTTAGGTATAAAAATGCCATCAGCTTTGGTCCCATTTTTTTTAGGGGAGTTTAAGGGAGCGTAATTTAATTTAAAATTAAAAACGACAACTTAAGATATAACTGAAAGTGTGATAAAAATTATAATATTTTAGGTTGGGTGTAACTTAAAATATTATCTTTTTTTCTAACATTTACTGTTGAACTGAAAATGTTATATTTTTCGTAACATTTTAGGTTCAACAAAAAATGTTAGTAAAAATGTAACATTTTAAGTTTCACTCAACCTAATAAATGTTATAATTTTTATCACATTTTCAATTGTTCCTCAAAATCTCTGTATTTTAACCTTAAATTAGACTGTCGCACATCAAAACTACCTCATTTTTGTTGACTTTTTGACTTAAAGATCAAGAGGTGGTTCGGGAAACACATGTGAAAAACAATATTTTTAATAGTGTAATAGTTATAAAATAATATATGTTTAGTTTTTTTTTATTTATAAACCTACAAATATAATTGCTCGAATTCAAAATTTCTAAAAATAATAATCCTCTATTTTATTACTAAAATTGTTGGATGAATTCACGAGGAAAAACATTCGATGACAAGCTTTGGGGCTCTTGATGTTTACGAGGACCACTCACCTCGGAGCTATATGGGATTTCAAACAACCTTTTTGAAACCAATTTTGTCAACTTATTTGTAACCAAGAGGGTTAAAATATGCTCTAAATATGTTTAGGAATTTAGTCTAATCATTTTTCAGATTAATATATTTAATGCTACATTTGATTATATAAATATTAGGGTAAATTATACCTATGATCACTTAACTATTGTCTCTTTTTATTTTGATTATTGATATTTTAATTTTGTCAATTAGACCAGCTAACTATTTAATCGTTAACAATCAACTCTGGTCACTTTTTATTTTGATTATTGATATTTATCCCCTAACTATTTAATGTTAACAATCAAACTACTTATCATTAACATTTAACGGATGAGATGATGCGACTTCAAAAAAATTAAAATAAATATGCATTTGATCCTCAATATCTACACCTTCTATCAATTTAATCTTTATTTTAATTCAATTAAATAAATTTAATCTTTAATTAGATAGTAACATGTGCACTATATAATAAAGTGCCAAGTTTCCGATGCTTCTTTACTCCATGTGAGGACCATATGTTCAAGGGAAGGCAATAGAAATTTCAATAAATAGTCTGCTTTTACTTATAATTCCTGGTAAAAATAACACAAGCACCTTAACTCCAGGATGCTATGAATCAATGGTTTTTTCCAACTGTTAGCAGCACACCCAGATTCCAACATCTGTCAATAACAGATAAATGATAAACATAATTGCTTCTTTATGCTGACGAAATACGTCAACAACAGCTCAGCCTTCCAACTTATGCAACCGGAGGGCGGAGAACATGATCCTGTGATGTATCGAAAGCGGCAGGAGGCAAGAACTGCCACATGGAAACTCCGGGATAACCAACATAGGGAACCGGCTTCCCACCAACAACTTGGCCTTGGGTAGTAAATTGAGTTGGAATGGCAGCAGGATGGGATAGGAATCCTGGATGAGAACTCATGGCCTTGACTTGCCGCTCAAGATTCTCTTTCTCGGCCTTCAGCCTCTGTTTCTCATCCCGGAGTTCATTTTTTTGAGCCTACAAAACAAATCTCGTCTCAGCATGCACATCATTGAAACTTAAGCGATAGTAATGGATCAAATGAAAATTTTCACTTGCATTACTTGTCCATGTGTACTAACGAATGAAACGTGTAACAAATAAACAGTGAATCTGAGCTCACTTTTAGCTCATTAATCTTCTCCTGCAGACTCTCATTTGACTCCTTCAATTTCAGGGCTTCATCCCGTAAGTGCGTAACCATTTGAACAGCATCAACCAATATAAGAGCCTTGTCTACTTTGGGAGGCCTTCCTGGATCTAGGATAGAACCCAATTCCAGGAACCTAGAGATAGTGAAAATGCAACTATCAGAGAAGGAAACATCGATTGGAGGGAAGGAAATCAGTATATCAAAACATGCCTGTCATTTAACCTATCCCTTCTCATCTTTTCCCTGCAAGCTTTGGAGGCAGTTGCACTACATGTTCCAGACCTCACCCTGTGATAAGAATGCCGAATAGATTACTAAGCGAAACCCCGTATGAAACCGAGCAACAAATCGAAGCACAACCAGACTGAAACCGACCCAAACTTAAAGATACAATAAGATGGTGACAACCGAAGAAGCTAAAGTAGAATCTGCAATAGGCAAACAAAGCAAGCAAATACAATAAAATGATAAACCCTCAAGTAGCTATATACCGTTTTCGGGAGCCTGGTTCGATAAGATTATTGGAATTCCCAAATGATTCATTAAATTCTGCACTGCAGTATCAAGAAGAAAAAAAGATTAATGAGCGTGTTCATAGTAGAATAAGAAATCAACAACATCCGAGCTTGAGGGAGCAACTAACTGGGCCATGGCAGCTTGCCAGCCACTAAGCTTATCGCCCAAATCCATCGCAAAACATAATTTCAAACTAAATAACGCTAAACCAACTTGTAAATATAACTAAAAAACGAAAGCAATTACTCTCTAAACCTAATGCACTAAAATGAAGCATAAAACTTTCATTTTTTTAGAGAACCCAAAGTCTGAAACCTATTGGAAATTGCGTGAAATGTACAACTAATATGATAATGTCACTCGAAATTTCAGAAGGAATCAATTAAAAAGAAAGAAAATGAGAAGAGAGGAACCTGAGAGGATTAGAGCAAGTGAGGGAATTAGATGACCAGATAGGGGCAGAAGGATGAAGTGAAGGAAGATCACCACCAGGCACTGTAATGCCGTCTAACAAACCATAATCATCAAACATCCATGCGTTGAGGTTTTCCGAGGAAACCAGGTCCGCCCCGTTCGGTTGCTGCCGGGATATCATATCCCCAGCAAGGACTGGGTTAAGTCAAGGTAGTGGAAGAATGGGTTGGAGCAGAAATGGAGAAAGAAAGAGAGAATCGAATAGAAGAGGGAGATATGAAACGAGTGAATTTGGTTGGTTTTGGATGGGAAGCTTGTGATGGTGGGGGGAAAAGTGGAGAATAATATATTCATTGGATTTGGGGTGGGGAATTGAGAGAGAAAGTCCACCCTTCTTTGTTTTTGTTCTCCATCTTAAGGTAATTCTTTTTCCATTCCACTTCCTTCACCACACGCAAAAAAAAAAGACCAGGCCAAGGCCATTCCGCTTCGCAAGAGTGACATATGAACACTGTTTCGGGAATTGGATTCTTTTTTCTACAAATCTAACTTCGATTCTTTTCTTATGCTATAACTTCGATTTCAAAACATTTTTATTTCATTTTTATTTCTTTGTCTAAGATTGATTTTTAAAAAATTCAGTTAAAATTAATAGAATTAAATTTAAAAAATTAAGGATTTTTTTGAGAAGGTTTTAGTTTTAAGAAATTTAGAATGTTTGTTCAAATATTTAAACAGTAAAAAGGTATCATTTCTGAAGACGAATAACATATCTGAAAAATTAATCTTATCAAATGTTTATCAGAAAAAATCAGAATACTAACACGTCAAATAAGAACAAAAGATTTCGGAAAAAAAAAGCTAATCTTATGATAAAAAATAAAAGAGCGAAGAGCGAAGCGAATAATGATTAGAAAAATTATTTATAAACTCGACTTAATGAGAAATGATAACCAAGTAAAAAACGATACAATTATCTCAAATTTTCATGTGAAAGAGTGACAGCAAAAATATATTGGAGAATAATTTACTGTGGAAGTATAACACATGATTAGAATTGTCAACAAGATGAAGATTGAGGAACAAATACAACAAATCAACATGACGGAACAGTGCAACAATTTCAACTGTGAACGCAGTCACCAAAACAACATATGTGCTTCAAAGACACCCTTTTTTACAAGACAATAGACAATCACCAGAACAACAACATAAGGTTTACATGTTCAATGATGTATAAGATCACAAGCACTGATACTATGCAGCATCTACACGAATGGATTGCACAAACCCATCAATCCTTTCTTCATCTCTTCCGGATTCGCACCGACGAACTTGTCGACTACGGTACCTTCCCTCATCAACAAAAACGTCGGCATGGCCTTTATCTCCATCTTCTTTGCTACCTCCTAAAGTTTCCATTCACAAACAGTATCCAAGTCATGTTCATAGTAAATAACAAACAATTAACCATCAAGAAAGTTATACAGCAGACAGAGAAGATGAAACCTGCAATATGCATCAGAATGTCAAGAAGGAACAAGAAACAACGAGATTCTTACCTTAACATCATCAACATCGACAGTGAGGAACAGAACATGTTGGAACGTTGAGGCCAGTTCTTCAAAGAAAGGGTTCATGGCCACCGAAGGCATACACCATGAAGCAGTGAAGTGTACAACAATCTAAAGCAACCAAAACAGGAATGAACAAGGATCAAACAACACTGGTAAAAGGTTTTTAGAATGAAAATTTGAAGACCTTACAGGGCAGCCTTGATTTGTAGCTTGGTTGAAATAGAAATCCCAGGATTGAACGGAGTCGATGTTCACAACTCGAGACTTGTTTTGCTGATCATGTTGTGCCTCCTCCATCTCTTTCTTCCTCGGACAATAATCTTGTTTAATGTATTGCTTTTCTTTTGCTTGCAACAACAGGAATGTTGCTTTGGAATTTAGACTGAAATGCACACCTGTTTTTATTTATTTTAATGTTCGAAAGGCCCACATCTTTGAACCTTATCTTGATCAAAATTGATAGAAGAATCTCGAACGAAATTACAGAACAAGACTTTGGAATTACGCTATATACTGCTTTTCTTAGGATAAACAATAATATTTTAATTATCATTTTTGCTACATTTTGATCATTTAATTATTTTTTTTTAAATCAACGTTATGTTTTGTTTAGTATTTTAACCATCATTTTTACTACATTTTGGTCATTTAATATTATTTTTTAAATTAACGTTATATTTTAGTTTTATTTTTGTCATCAATCGTTAAAAAAATAATAGAATTATTGACACGATATTTTTTTTAATTTTTTTAATTATGATTTGATATTATCTTACTGTGACATGTTAGCATCATCGTTGATTTTTTACTAATTGATGACCAAAATGAAATTGAAAATGTAACATTAAGTATGAGTATTAGACAAAAAATAATTGGATAATCAAAACGGAACAAAAGTGACAATTGGAGTATTAAATATGTAGTTTATCCTATTTTTTTATTGATTTAGTTTTTATAGAACTTTTCATCATCTTGATAATTTTGAGATAAAAAATAACTGGTCTTTAAATTTATTATTTATCAAATAATTATCCCTCAAATAATTCTATTTATTCTCTTTAAAAAATTATTGTCTGATCTGTGTTCCTTGTGAACTGATTTAATTGGTATACAATTTGGTTTCGTTTTGTGTTCACAATCTCATAGGAATTCCTGCTATTGAAGAACAATGGGAGATGGGCAAAGGAACAAGAAAGACTTGATTTTACAACAACTCAACAGCAGAACATTCCAAAGACTTCGAAACTGTGTGCGCCCATGGATAACGTTCTTCTCTTTCTATCATACAACGCTCAAAGGAAAAATTTAGGTGGTATTTGTTTTTGAAGAGGTAAAAGGTCTGCAGTCTGCGGACTACATCTGCAGACATTTACAGCAGAAGAGGTGGACAAAAGTCTGCAGTATGCAAGAAGAATACTGTTTGTTTTTAACGGTTGCAGACTGCTAAAATAAACTGAAATATAAATACACTGATTTTTTAAACTTAAAAGAGTTTTGCAATATTGAAATTTAAATAATTTTAGTTTTATAATACTGAAATTTAAATAATCCATACAAGTACAATAATAAATATTTTAAAATAAATCAATCTATATTTTAAAATAAATCAATATATATTTTAAAATAAATAAATTCATATTTTAAAATAAATCAATCCATATTTTAAAATAAATCAATCCATATTTAAAAATAAATCAATCCATATTTTAAAATAAATCAATCTATATTTTAAAATAAAATTTTTTATATTTTAAAATAAAATTTTTCATATTTTAAAATAAAATTTTTCATATTTTAAAATAAATAAATCTATATTTTAAAATAAATTTTAAAATAGATTTAAATGATTTTAATTTTCTCGTAGACCTTTGAAGACATAAAACCATGTCTGCACCAAGAAGAGCTCGCGCAGACGTTTGAAGAGCTTCTGTCTTCTAAAAAACAAACGGTCTGCGAAGCCTAATGTCTGGCGTGGTCTGCACGGCGCAGACATAAAAGGTTTGAAGATGTTGCACATTGAAAACAAGCTAAGCCTTATTTTATCCATAATTAGCTTATTTAACGAGATTGGATATTAAGGTTTTTTAAATAAAATTAAGAAATTAATTTTTAATATTATAAATAAATTAAATCAAATTTAGATAATCGTTACAAAAACATTTATTTTAAACAATAAACATTATAGTTTAAATTCCTAAAGAAACTTTTTAACAGTATAACTACAACGACTCGAATTCAAAATCTTAAAAAAAATAATACTCCTTTTAATCATTAAAATCACTTAATTGATTAAATAATAATGATTTTTTTAAATGAAAACATTAAGATTATTATAAAGTAATAATTATTTAACATTTTTCTTAGCTTAATAATAACACATACTCTTATATCTTAAAAAATAACTACTCGAATATGGATACTTTAAAAAAACATTACGCCTCAACTCATTCTATCTGCGGATGATTTGGCTCATTTTGTCTGGACTAATTTTAGGCTTAATATATCTGTTCTCCCTGCACTATATACAGATTTTCAGTTTGACCCGTATATCCTCTATACCATTATTTTGTCTCTCAGTTTATTTCATTATCATTACTGTTAAAAAAGGCGTGGTTGAATCCTAAACTGCCACGTGTAATAAAAATAAAAAAAACTTATGAAAAAGACAATTCTGTTTTGCAGAGTCCACGTGTCAGAACAGGACCAGGTCACCATTGAGCGCAATCCAACACGTCTAATGCCCATATGTCTGAGAACAAATGGTGAAGACCACATCCAATTATCCAAAGTGGAAAATTGCAGATAAGGTGTCTCAAACCGGACCAATCTACATCAAAGTAAATAAAAGAAAAAATTGAGGAAAAAAGACTCAACGACACCATCAAATCTACACTTGGCTCATTCAGATTGGGGAAAAAAACTCGGGTTGTGGTGATGGGACAGGCAATGGCGATGATTGGTTTCAGTGGCTCTTCACAGGCTGTCCTGGAAGGCAGCCTTCAATTCAGTGGGCAAACCCGCTTGAACATTGCTAGCAACAACCGAGTGGCTGTGGGTAGACCTGGTTTCACTGTCAGAGCCCATCGGGCACCGGCTGAACCAGAGACCGGACGCAGAGCCATGCTAGGTCTTGTTGCTGCTGGTTTGGTCACTGGCTCCTTTGTTCAAAAGCTGTGCTTGCCGATGCAAGAAGCATCAAGGTTGGACCACCTCCCCCACCTTCTGGTGGCTTACGTAAGTCATTGATCCTTTTCAATTTGTACAGATTTTAAGCATGTTCAAATTCAGTAATTTGATGACCAAATCAGAATTTTGGCAGCTGGAACTCTGAACTCGGATGAGCCAAGAGACCTTAATCTGCCATACAAAAGCAGGTTCTTCCTCCAACCACTTGCTCCAGCTCAGGCAGCACAGAGAGCAAAGAAGTCAGCCAAGGACATTGTGGGTGTCAAGAGCTTGATCGACAAAAAAGCCTGGCCTTGTGTCATGAACGATCTCCGTCTCAAGGCGGAGTATCTCCGCTATGGCCTCAACACCGTCATTGATTCCAAGCCCAAATATGAGAAGAAAACTCTCAAGGAACTTACTAAGAAACTCTTCAATACCATTGACAATGTAAGTTTCGAAGTTTTTCCTTCTGGTTTTGCTGCATAATTGCTTGCATCATTTAATATGCTAAACTATCATGTACTTCTGACGTGGAATTTTATTTTTTTCCTTGCAGCTTGACCATGCAGCCAAGATCAAGAGCACCCCTGAAGCAGAGAAGTATTATGCTGAGACTGTATCTAGTTTGAACGAAGTTCTTGCAAAGCTTGGCTAAGAGAATGTTGAATTGTATTTTGATGTAAGATAACCTTGTTCATCGTTTCTAGAGACACTTTCATTTCCATGCTATCTGAAGGGAACCTCTATCTATTAACGAAATTAAAAACTCTGTTGTCTGATTGTTGAAGCACATTCAGGTCACTGTCAACTCTATTAAAAGATATTAGCTTCAAGTTAAAAGATGGAAGAGGAATAGTCAATCAATTTAAGCTTTAATAGTAAGCAAGACACACCTAGCTTTATTAGTAAACCAGCCATCATTCATAAACTCATCAGTTAATAGGCACGGGAGAAGAACTACCAAGTATCACTCAAGTTCAAGTAACGCAAAATATGTAAAGGGTTAATGCTATTTTCCAGTTTCTCCGATTTCATATTGAGATTGCACAGATAAAAAGCAGAATGATCACAGAACAGAGCTAATATGAAATACCAACTGCATAACAGAGATGATTATCAAAGTTTCAATTTCAAGATTTAATTCATACCAAAAGCTGAAGGTTATAGCGGATGATAAATAAGAAAACATAAAGTATATCATAGAAATCTTAATCACTGATAAGAAAAACAGATAAATATCATCTCCACCACTACCATGAAAATAGTTCTGACTGCAATTGGTAAAAAATTACTTGCTTTAAGATACTCGTCCAGATTCAATTAACGAAAATGATAAAACAAAATAGCATTGGTAAAACCTGCCACTACTCTGCGGGCATATTCAGCTTATAGCGACAGTAACTATTTGTGTTGGCAAGCTTCAGGAGTTCCTTTGCATCTTCAATCTTGGAGGCTTCAACCAAGTCATCCACCACTCGCTGCAACAATGCAGCACCAACCAATTTTTTCCTATCAAGAATCTCCTTGCACAGCTCAATGGCAAAAGTAAAATCGCTCTTCTCACAAACGAATGGGATCAATATCGAAAATGTCAGTTTGTCCGGTACACAGTCATTTTTCCCGATTTGACTAAACCACTCTTTAGCTTCTTCCAACTTTCAATCATTAAGAAACCTTCTAATCATATAATTGAGAGTAAACACATCCAGTTTAACTCCATTACTCCTCATTTCTTCAACCAAGTTAGCCGTCTCTTTCATTCTCTTTTCGGCTGCAAATCCGAGTAACTTCGCATTATAACTCCTAATATCAGGCTCTACATTTTTTCTCCAACATTTTACCCCATATTTCTCCCCATCATCAAACCTTCCATTCTTGAAAAAAAATCATATATAAGCATGTTAAAAGTAATCACATCCGGCTGCACACCCTTCTTCTCCATCTCATAGAGCATCAATCTAGCAGAATCCAAAGAACCCATCTCACATAAAGCCTTAATAACCGTATTATAAGAAATCAAATCTGGCTTAATTGACAACTTCTCCGGCAACTCCTTTAAAAACACATCAACCTTATCAAGCTTTCTGGCATTCACGCAAGCTCCCATAAGAGCATTGAAAGACAACAACCCTCTATTCGGCATTTCATCAAACACCTTGTAAACTTGCTCAAACATGCCTGATCTCACATACTATCGGATTAATCTAGTAGCAAAGCCTTCTTTCGAAATGTCTTCGTATTTCTTTTGATCTTAGAGGATTTCTTCGATCCATTCGATGCGTCCAGCTGAAGCAAGGCGGCGAACAATATTTTCATAGATGCCGCTTCGTGAGCGGAAGCGACTGTACTCGGAGGATTTTTTGAATTTTTCAACGAGACGCTTGAGGTCGCGTTCTTTTTGGAGTTCAGCAGCGGCTTTTCGAACGTTGTCTGGCCGTGGCGTTGGTGTTGTGGAGAAGGTGCGGCGGAGGACGCGAGTTAAAGATGACATTTTTAGAGGTTTAAGGTCGCCAGCAGTTGTTAGTACTTAGTACGGCCTTAGAGGGAGGTTTAAGCGCTTTTTGGTTCTTATTGCTGGCATTTTACATGAAATTAATATATTTTATAGGATAAATTATTAATTCGGTCATCCATTTATTTTTATGTTTTTATTTTGATCATCTAATTATTTTTTAAATTCACATCTAACATTAATTTTATTTTTATTTTAATACTTTCCATTAGATTTAAAAACTGATTTAATGAAAATTATAATGTGATATATAACAACAATTTTAATCTTCAGGAACAACTACAAACAACTAAAATTAGCATCCTATTGTAGATAATGGATCTAATGAGAACCACAAAGGAAAACAACTTATTTGCAGATAAAATTGTTCATACAGCTATAACTTCCCTTACAGCTTTATTTACTTGTACCATCTTTGTGCTAAAAGAAAGAACTAATTCAACCATGAATATTCCTCTTGATACTCCATCTGCCTTGACACAAGTTGTCCCTCGTAATGCCTTTCGTAATTGAAGATCGGATTCTCGTAAACACCTCCGTAGCTCCATTGTTCTCCGTAAGGATACGAATTACCGAAAAGATAATCGGCGGTCTCCTCCCACAGACAGTTTTCATCGCTCCATTTACCGCAAACACCATGAGGACCGTAACGGTTTCGATAATAATCGTTCTCTCTCTTTGCTCGATCCAAGCAGGGCCAGTGACCAAACAAAGTTTCACAAAGGTCCATTGCTTCTAAGCCATACCCTGGAGGAATTTGAGACACCCTCTTCTCATATTCACTACCATTAGAGTGAACGTCGGGATAATCTTCCTTACTTTCTTCAACTCGGTTCGACTCGATAGGCTTGCCGCTAGAATCCAGATTAACATCTTCCATACCGCCCTGTGTTTGCTGCTCTTGATCTTCGACCGTTGTTGCTGCTGCTTTGCTTCCGTTGCTAGGTTTTTCTACAGGTTTATAGACTCCTTTCGCATTCGGTGACTCGATCGACGGATGGGAAAAATTGTTCAAGGCTTGATCATTCGGATCCTGTGATGATGAACGCGGATAACATATTTTCTCGGAAGGGGGCAGAGGTTTGCCATATGTTGCAACAGGATCATATCCACCGCCGTAAGGCGTCGGATCGTACTCATCAAATGCAGGCTCGTTGAACTCAGAGACGGAATATGATACGATAAACCGAGTCTTTATCGTACCATAATCGTCACCGTAAGGGTTTAGAGCATACTCAACATAGTTAGGCTCACTGAAAGTGTACGAAGAGTACGCAACATTCGAATGACCGATTTCGGGTTCATAAGCAACATAACATGGAGCTGAATCGTATCGGAAAGAATTGTAATCGTTATATGCATAGGTAGAATGATCTAAGGGTTGTGATGAGACATAATCTTGATAAGGAGTTTGATAATACTCACCAAAATTAGCTTCATAATAGGTGGAGCTGTAGTAGGCCATTACAGATTCATGATTTGCAGAATTTGCAGTGAGCAAATTCAGAGGCAGAGCAAGAGAAAATTTGGGGTTTTCTTTCTTGCAAATTGGTGCAGCTGCCGACTATGTATATGGAAATGACATTATTGTATCTACCACATAGCCTTTATCTAAATGGATAGAGAGAGAAAGTTTGTGCACATGTGAGGAGAATTGTGAAATTGTACTTTTTAATAACAACCGCTTACTTTTGCTTCCATTTGAAAGAAAGAGAGAAATAACTCTTTACCCATATCACATTTTCAAAAATTAATGAGTTGATTACGTCACGTCGTTAGTGTAGGCTCTTATTTTAAATTGATCCTTAAACTTTTAGTTATTCGAATTTCTTCCCTAAATTATGATTATTATTCTAAATTAGTCCTTGGACTTTTGAACACTTAAATTTCATCCCAAACTATATGTGTATGCTAATCACATCTCTTGTTAATAAATCGTTAGCCCAAGTTATATTGTTATATGGTTGAAAAAACAAAATATAGGTTAAGTTATGGTTGAAATGGATTACATTTTTTGGATGAATTAGGGGGATGAAATTGGAATATTCAAAAGATTAGGGACTATTTTAGAAAGAGGGTCATAGTTTAGGGATGAAATTAGAATGTTCAAAAGTTTAAAGACTAATTTAGAATGAGAGTCATAGTTTGGGAATAAAATTAGAATATTCAAAAGGTTAAAGATCAATTTAAAATGAGTTATAATTTAGGGACATATGATATAATTAACCCAAAATTAAATATCTAAATAACATTGCTTTAAAATTAATAAGCTAGTTTATTAAAGTAATATCATCCAAAGAATATTATTGATAAAAATGATATTTTTGACAAAATTATGAAAATGACCTTTTAAAATTAGCGTTTTACTCTTTTAGAGGGCATGCTTTTACATTGGTGAAAAGATTTACGCACTGTTTCTCTCATGTTGACGTTATTCAAGAACAAAATGTAAAAAAAGAAAAGATAAAATTTTTTACGAATTTTATTAAAAAAGAAACAACTTACGATATATATCAAAGATAAATAAATGTACGAGCACGAACATAAGCCAATTAGACGGCAACGGTGGCACACGTATATATATCTAGTCTTTAATCACTCAATCAGTGCATGTTTAAAACACTATATTCAAACAATTTACAAAAACACGTGTAAGATTTGAGAATATAATACATAATCTTGTTGGTTTTGAGTTGTCAAAGAGAAATTTTAAACTTTATCAAATTTGTATCAATGCGACAGTTAAAGACAATCTTTGACAACTTAAAAAACCAATAATTTTTTTATCATGATATTCTCAAATATCACATTATTTATATATGAGTTCTTTAAAGTGTTTAAACATGAATTCATTGAATGATTAGAGACGAAGTCTATACATTCATTTAATTATTTTTAAAGTTAAATATCTAAATAACATTCATTCTGAATTGATTAATAAAATAACATCATTTCACTAAAATTCATGAAAGATTCAGTTGATTGAATGTGTGTTTGTGTACGTGACATTTAAACTTATAAAAGACCACGTAACTGATTGGGCATGCTTTTATCTATGCGGTACAATCTTAAAAAAAATTAATTGACGAAGTACGAGTTGTATGGATTTTAGATAAAATATATATTTTAATGATTAAAATGAGAAAAAAATGAAAACAAAAGATTATCTAAAATGAATAAATACATATGATACATGTTAGCATGAGTAAAAATCAGATAGACGATAACAATAACATTCACGTGCAAGTCTTTAGTTACCTAATGGTTATATATAGAAAATTATGTTAAAGAAAAGAGTGAAATTTCAAGTATCCAAACATGAAAATCCAGCACTGCAATTTCAATCAACAAAGGAAAACCATTGGTTCGGATCTCTTCCATTTGCTGAAATAGAGAAACGTCACAATCGAATTCGAATGTAAAAGGATTTCGATCATTTGCAAAAGATGGTGAGGGGCAGCTGGCAAGTCCCATCATGTACTTAACAATGCACATAAGAAATCTGAATTCTATATTTCTTCTTATCTTTTAATTTGTTTTCTTGCTTGAAATATTTTGGACAAATAATGCAAAGCCAACTGGCGGTGGCCTTCCATGAAAGCAAGATTATAAGCACTGTGCCATTTAGAACACACTCTAGGAGTTTGTGCAAGAGAAGACGTGTAAACAATTAAACATACCTTGAAATATCATATAACTTTTATTTAATTTTGATCAAAAATTAAAATACTCTACAAAGAATAAATAATAAAATAATTATTTATATATGATAATTTTATCCTCGTGCCTTGATGATTGAAATGAAAGATTGATGTGAATAGATGTCATGATAAAGGACATCTCGGCCTCATAAACAGTGTGATCTATTCGGGCTAATAAAGGACATCGCATTGGATTTTATCCTTTATACTCTACATTCGGGCTCATAAAGGACATCTCGGCCTAATTCATAGCCTGTAACTTTTCCTGTCCATTCGGGCACATAATAAATAGGCCCTTAACTTTCCTGGTATGGTGTAGCACCAAATGCAAAATGTGGCCGAATGAAGTCTACAAGCTTCTTAAACTTTAAACTGAAATCGGATACCAACATTTCCCAACGTGGTCGAACCCTCTTTCAAGCTTTCAATCCTCTCTTTTAAGCACGCAGCTATTGCCACTCAATGAGTCAGTCATTGTCTCACCAGATGCCCCGGTGTGACCAAATCCAATGCGAATCTTCAACATGGTATTGAGTCTAAAATACGATGACTGAATCTGCATTGTGCATTGACAAAACCTTGTTTATATCTCTGCTTCAGCACTTTATAAAGATTAGGTTCATATTACATCATGTCAGACACTAGCAGTTTAGCCAGTCAATAAAAAGCCTAACTACATACGTCAATGATAAAGATGTTTAGTATCTCTAGTGGGCCAGTATATTCCTGTTCTTTATACATTTTAATAGATATTTGGAAGATTATACTTTTTCTTACATTATTATATCAGCAGTTGATCAGAACTCTTTTGCTTTTCAGAAGGAAAAACATTTTTAAAAAGAAAAACTAGCAAGCAATAACCTAACTCTTGTTTATACGCGTTTCCCAATAATTTTGCTCAAAGGGACTACTTAGTTAGAGTCCTCTTCAATGTTTAATAGTTAATCGGTTGTAAATAATTAAAAAAAAAATTAAACTAATCAAACAATCTCAGTTGTAAAAAGAAGAGTTGTTCATTCTATAAGTTTTGAATTCGAGCAAATGTGTGAAAACATTGAAAAAATTATACGACAACAATTCTATTTTAAAATTTGGTCAATTGAAAGATGTGATTTAATTCAAATTAAATTTAAAAAAGTCAGAAGAAAATATATTGAGACCCCAATTGAACACAAAGAATAATGTTTCAAATACATGAGTCAATCAACCATGTCAACCCCACCAAATGGATAATACTAATACTTTTTTTTGTCACGTTTCATAAATTCACGAAACCAATGATTTATATGACTTATGGTGGCTTTGGTACAATTCTTTTTTTTTCAAAACAAATTTGTACACATAAGATTATAGAAGTTAATCTAAACAGAGATGGTCATGAAGAGAACACGAACTTAATTTAAAGAGAAGGATGATAAAGGTATAACTGAAAGAAAAAGATAACAAAAGAAATAATGATAAATGAAGAAGTCGGCGAAACATATGTTATCTTTAGATTATTTTTAAAAGATAAAATGTACATTTTAAACATTTTTAAAAAATTGATTTTCTACGACAAAAGATGAAAATTTGAGCTATTGAGGTTAGGTTAAAAATCACTTTTCCAATCATGATTTTAATTGTTTATAGGGTGAAAAATGTAATACCCCTAATCCGTATCCGACCCGAATCCGAGTCTGAGGCGTCACATTGACTTTTCAAAACGTTTTTCTTAACAAATAGGTTAAAAATTTAAATTCTCAACTCAAGAAAATGAATATTTTACATTAATTAAAATTAATTGGTTTTATAAAACTTACCAGAGCTTGTACAATTCAAATATTTAAACTACATGCCAACTATATTCTATGTAACAAAATACATGTATTTAAATACATTTCTGATCTGATCTTTGGAAAGGAGAATTTGAGCTGTCTTGCTCCTCTTAGCTCCATAATCTCATCGAAACCTACGTGTGAAACATTCACATGCTAAGTCTATGACTTAGTGAGGCATATAATACATGTAATGTAAAATGTAACTCCTATCAATGCATGAACAATTATTACTAACATATCATACAAAAGCATATATTCATTTACATAAAAATTTCACACATGCACATATATCATCATATTCATTTCATTTTCAATATTATATTCATTTATACCTTTTAGTTATCTATTCTTACACTTAACCTTCTTAACTATCGTATATCACATGTATCACTTCACAAGGAAACAAACATATTATTATATCAAGTTTATTTATATTATATGCACACATGTGAAAACTAAAGATATGCGAGTACATAGAGGTTATGCAATATGCTGTCACCACAACTCGTATAATTTCTACTAGGGGCGCGTAGAATTTGTCTCGAATGACCTATGTCCCGAAGCCACTATGTCCCGAAGGACCACATATAACACATATGTCCCAAAGGACCACTCCTTAAGAACCATATACATATTCCAATGGACCAAATAAGTGTACCGAAGTACCGCATATATGTTCCAAATGATTACATATATGTCTCGAATGACCACGTAGAACCCTCGACTCTTGGCATGCCAACTATACCTCTAGCTCTCAGGACACATATCATGGGCATAATCTTTTATTTCATTTCACATATTCACATAGACACGCAGTTCACTTACACATAACACATTTCCATATAATTCACATATCACATAGCTCATGTCACTTAATCTCTTATGTTCATGTATCACATGTGAATATTCTCATATATGTTCTAAAGGATTACATATATGTCTCGAATGACCACGTAGAACCCTCGACTCTTAGCATGCCAACTATACCTCTAACTCTCAGGACACATAACATGGGCATTATCTTTTATGTCATTTCACATATTCACATAGACACGTAGTTCACTTACACATAACACATTTCCATAAAATTCACATATCACATATCT